AGTAGAAATTAACAGTACAATTAAGTAAAAACACTCATTTCCCAAGAAGAAGAATTACAAATAGTATCACCATCTCGCTGCCTGGCATGAACGATGTCTTCTGTGACTTGATTTTATTAGTTTTCTTCTGGCAATTATGCCTTCAATCCCATCCTGAGTCCTTTATTTTGTGTTAGCAAGAATCACTGTGTTAAGAGAAATGGTGAAAAGGTTTCTAAAACAAAACAGATTATTCTCTAAGACCCTGAAAACTGACTTGATTACGTTAATGAACACATCTTCTATTATTAAGACTCCGTTATGTCTTTATTACTTGAAGGGGTGCTTTGTCTTTTCCTTCTGATTACCTGTGTCAAATTTTTACTCATCTATTACAAGTCATGCTCCCATCCCTTGAAAAACGTGTAGAGCTAAAGTCTGCTGAACATTACATTGTATATACATGAAATTTAATTTCTTTGCCATTCCAAAGGAAACGAGTCCTAGTATTTCACTTTTACAGGTAAGAACACTGATGCTGAAGCACTCAATAATTTGCTGAGGGTAGCTCTGCTGTTAGCAGCACAGGCAAAACAGCCTGGGTGGAAAGGTCAAGCATTTCTTTTGTCCTGAGGCATCCCAGAACATTCACATTAATCCAGTGCTGAATATTATGAAATATGCTTATAATGGAAAGATTTTAGAATATATTGATCATGTGAAAATGTTACATCTCAATAAATGAAATTCAGTAATATATTTTGAAAAGATTTATCAGCTAAACTTTACTAGTAACAAACCTGTGCCAAAATAGACATTTCATCCAGCTTTGTTAGAAATATGTTTTGTAAAAAAATGTTTTATGAGTGACATAAGTCCCACTGAGGCAGCTGTTTCCTCAAACTTGTGGCTTCTGCACAGCACAGCCAACACCTCAGAGAACGGGGGTCATCCAGACCCCTATGAGATATCCTGGTTTAACGTCTTTCATTTCAATTTCCTCTAGACTTTGTATTTTGCCTGTAGAATTACTAAATGCTGTATTATACCTCCTGTGTTATGATGTGGTCTCCATATGGTTGATGGAAATGCCTCCCAGTACCTTGAGGCTATCCATGTTTTCTCCAAAGTCCAGCTGAATGTGAGAGCACGTGCCCAAGGATGCAGGAGAGTGTGTTGGAGGCCATAAGTGCAAGTGTACTGGAATCTGCGGTAGGATGCTATTATCTTCTGTTCCAGGGAAGCCATTAAAATGTTTTCAGGGCCTGGGAGATGGCTCAGTAGAATAAGCACTTCCCTGGCAAGCGCAAGGGTCTGAGTTCAATCCCCAGTTCCAGAAAAAAAAATGTTTTCAAAATATGTTTCATCTTTAGTAGATTTAGTGTTTCTATTTTAATATTTAAATCTTTGATCCATTTTGACTGTAGTTTTGTGAATGGTGATAAACACAGGAAAGTCAGTTTTTCCAGCACCATTTATTAAAGAGAAATTCTGTATCATTTCTAATTTATTATTCTCTTAAAAATTATATATATTATAGATGTATATTATATTACTTGCTTATAAGAATTATAAAGTAATTGTACTTTTTATACTAAAAATGGGTGTTAGGGCTGGGGATGTAGCTCAGTGGCGTAAGGACCTGTGTGGCACATGATCCTGAGTTTGATCCCGGGTACTGCACGCCATGCTGGCCCCAAAACCAAGCAAGGTGGCACACACCTGTAATCCCAGCCTGAGGAGGCTGAGACAGGAGGGTCGCTACAAGCCTGAACTGCGGAGTGGTACTCTGTAGCAAATAAAAATAAAAATATTTTTTTAAAAAAATGGATGTTATCAGGAAGCCAGTGACAGCTAAGAGCCTCTGGATGTATTGCGGGGCCATCTTCCCTCTTCCTCTGCTGAGTGTATCTCAGGGAAGCTACGACTTCTGATTCAGTTACCCGAGGAGCTCTGGTTGGCATATCTAGCCTTCAGCAGTGACAAAGGGTTACCATCACTCCAAGGACATTGGACTGTTTGACATTTGCTTGAGGTAAGCAACATCTGAGTACATAACATTTAAAAACTTTTACAAGGCTATTTCTAGTAAAATCTATTTAAGTATCTGAATACTCCTGGGAAAACTGAAAAGATCATTAGATATATCTAAATGATGTTATATATGATAACTAACTTGAAGGCTTGCATGATTAACGAAAGTTAGACATGGAGCTTCTGTATTAATAACTATAAGGAAGAAATAAATGCAACCTCCTAAAATTTCTGAAATTAAGTACACAACTAAACAAAACTTAACTTCAGCATGAGAAAAATTCCACATAATCCAGCAAACATGATTGTTCTGTCACCAAATCCTGATGTTATATTATTTCAACGTCTAAATTTGCTTAAGGAAGAAATATTTGATCAGCAAATAATCCTAGCTAACTTAATTCATTTCTTTATGTGCAAAATAACGGCTGAATGAATTCTAGCTTCAGCTTGTCCTCTCGGCTCAGCTGTCTGCCTCCTGAGATTGCAAAGCTGTGGCCTCTTGCTTACTCCTTTCCCTATCATAGCAGCTGTGTGGCACCGACTCCTCTTGTATCACGTGGCATCTTCCTTTGAAATTTTATTTTTCTCCCCTCCCCCTCTCCCTTTCCATCCTTCCTCCCTCACCTCCTCCTCCACCACTTCCTTCTCCTTTTTAATCTTCCTTTACCTCATCACCTCCTCCTCTGATACCGGAAATTTAACCCAGGGCCTTTGCACTGTTTTATTCCGAGACGTGGTCTAGCTAAGTCATTGAGTTGCCCAGTCAGAACCTGAATTTTCAATCCCCCTGCCTCAGCCTCCTACAGAGTCACGCTCTTCTCTCAGAAGCAGGAGTCCCTTCCATGCCAAGTCATAATCATGCAAGTCTTTGCAGCTTACTAACCTGGGGTTCTTTTTATGCTGGCTTGAAATCAGGGCTGTCAGTTTTTTTCACTAAGGTTGCCTCTTCCAAAGGACAAGCACATCAGCATGTCTTCTAAAAATTCTATGTGCCCCAAGCACTTAAAACAGTATTCATTTTGAAAAATGCTTGATAAATATGGGTGATTGATTGGCCTACTACATTTTCCCCAGGACAACCAGTAAAACACTTTTAAAATATATTTTTCCTCTTTATAGGAATTATAAAGTGAGGACTGCTAAAATGTAGCAGTTTCTCCATTGTCCAAGTTTTAGAAGTGGTTTTTTTTGTTTGTTTTTTGTTTTTTTGGCTCAGGATGCCTTCGGGGCAGGTCTGGTAAGGCTTGAGGATCTGGGGATCAAACCACAGCATCCTGATTACTTTGTTTAAGCAGTCACTTAAACAACTGAGTTAATGGGCAGGACCCCCATTGCCCAAGTTTTAAAATTTTAAAGTGATACCGCACTGTGATGACCTCGTAAGCTGAGTCCTTGAAGTGAGACAGTGGTGAGCCATACATTACTTAGTTAAAACACTGAACCAAATTTTTGAAGTAAATATGAAACTAGGCGTTTGAGTTTCTTCTCAGTCTGAGACACATTAGCCAGAAAGCTTCATTTGGGCAGTCAGCGCCTACGGAAAAGCGCAAGGCGAAGTGGCAAATGCATAAAGACAATTATGATGTCAATCGTAGACACACAAACACAGAAGACGGGGGAGGGGCGCGCTGAGCGAGGTCTCTAAATAGCCCAAGGTCCAAACAAAGGTAGCGAGGCGGTCTGTTTTCTTGTGCTGGTCGCTGATTTCTTTCAGCACGCTGGCCAGCTCCTCGCGCTGGGTTCTTCGGCCTAAAATAAAGGAGAGCCGGGAAGGAAGGCACCATCTGCTGCTTTGCATTGATAGATAACCCAATAAACAGGGGTGGGGACAGTGCCCCCAATCAACGCCTTAGCTGCTGACTCTGCTGCGTTCGTGGAGTGTCTTTGATCTGGGGCAGGGGGTCCCCACTTCTCCACTCACGTCCTCCCAGGAGCCAGAACGGATACAGTGTGGAACCCTAAACCCTATCACTCTGGTAACCTCACCTCGGCGGAAAAGTAATCTAGGTTCTGGGGAACTGAAGTGTTTATCCTGGCATAGGGAGGTAAAAAAAAAAAAAAAAAAGCAGGATTCTACTCAACTAGCCGGCTGCCCAGCCCGTAAACCGGTAGCTTAAACTCCACTTGCACTGTGATGGGAAGGGGCACACTGGGCGCACACGGCTGGAGCCCGGGTGGCCGCGGGGACCGGCGAGCTGCCCAGCCCCCACGTCCCGCGAGGGAAGCCGGAACCGGGAGATGGACCCTTTCTTTCCCGCTTGGGATCTCTCGACTTCCGCTGAGACCGCCTGCCCTAGCGTCTCCAGATAGCCTGCTCTCCGCAGGCAAGAAATCGCCGCTGGTTTCTCTGGTTTTCCTTCCCCTAAGAACTTTTTAGTCCCCGAGGGGGAAACCTAGGGCGAGGCTATGAGAGCCGGGATCGAGTAGGAAATTATCCCAACGGGAGGAGGCAGAGAGGGCGGGACGACCTGAGCGGCAGAAGCGCGGAGGCCGGGAGCTCGGGCGCGCCCGGCGCCCTCCCGCCCGCAGCCCTGCAGCCGCCCTTTCCGCCGCGGACACGGGAGAGTTAAGCCAATAAACACGTAAGCGCCGCTCCCTCCCCAATCGGCAAGATGCCTCTTCGGCTCTCGGCTGCACCGACAGCTTGCAACACTCGGCATCTTTTCTGGAGGCGCCTCCTTCCGCGGCTGCAGATGGCACCGGGCTCTGAGCTCGGGGCTCGCAACTGAGTCTCGCCCTTGCCCACCTCGTCCGCGGACGCGCCTCGCTTTCTCCTCCTCCCTCGGCTCGGCTCTGCGCCCAGCACCGGATCGCCGGGCGGAGGAAGCAGCGGCGGCGGCCCAGGCTAAGCTGCAGCGCGCGCTCCCTGTCGCGGGGAGCGGCGCCCACCCGCGAGAACCGACCCCCGGGTGCCTCCAGCGCCCCCCACCTTTGGCACCCCAAGCCGGGGGCTCCAGGGACCCTCTCCCTCCCAAGTCGCCACCATGCTGGACCCCTCGTCCAGCGAAGAGGAGTCGGATGAGATCGTGGAGGAGGAGAGCGGCAAGGAGGCGCTGGGCTCGGCCGCGTCCGGTGTGCGCCTGTCCCCCAGCCGCACCAGCGAGGGCCCGGCCAGCGGCGCGGGGCTGGGGGGCGGCGG